TAGATGGGGGGGGCGGCGCCGAAAAAGGACCCAGCCGTTTGTCCTTGGGTTGTGCCCCCGTTGGGGGGGCGCTTCCCCCCCAAATTTTTTTTAATTGAATGGTAATTTTCCCGGGCCCCCACCGAGGGGGGTTTTGTTTTATGGAAACCGAGCGGGCGCCAGTGTGCTGGAAAGATAAGTCATCACTCGAGGGGGGGGGGGGGGGGGGGGGGGTCGAGAAGGCTACAGAGAGGGGCGCAACGGCAACATACCGTTGCACTCTGCCGGCATGTCGGACGTGTGGCGAGTAGCTGAGAGAGTCGTCGAGTGATGACTTATTTTCCTTTCAAAAAAAATGGCCAATCAGAAAACTGCGGGCACCTTGTCCTTTTCTCTCTATGACCTCCTGCGGCAGCGGTAACTGGCTGCCAATCGTTTCGTCCTCACACTTTGCTCCCCCTTTTTTGGTCCTGACCCCTGTTGTCTTCGAGTAGTATTGATGCATCAACGCACCTGATTCACACAAAGTGTTGTTTGTGTTTTTTTGTTCTGCTTGGGTTGTGGTGGCGAGAAAGAGCGTGTGCCTCAAGAGAAGGAGCACAGGCTGCTACAATACCAGCATCATCTCATTGCGGTGTGTTTTTCTGGGATGTGTCCGGTTATTGAGGAGCGTTCGAAAGAGGAACATGCCGCACACATTCCGGGCTACGGATAGCCTGCACAGCGTTTGTGGACGAAGGGGAAACACTACATATTTGGCGAATAGCAGAAGCTGCAGGTCCCCTTTCTTCCACGCTCGGGTCCCCCTCTACATTTTGCGTCGGGAAGCTGGGGTATGGGGTGCTTACTATAACACTAGAGACAACAGAGCAATAAGATAGGCCTTTTTGATCTCTTACAAGCAAACACTTTGGGACTGATTGACTGCGAAACAGCAGCCGTTGACGACAGGGGAAAGACTTCCTACTCCGCCCGCGGTTCCCCTCTGTCGACCAGAACGTCACGAATATCATCGAATAGAATTGTTTTCCAACGGAGTGCTTGGAACAGGTGCATGATGAGCCGGCTTGTGCAGTATGTATGCGGTCGATTTTTCGCGGTGCCAAGTAAAGACCTCACAGGGCTACGTCAGCAACCGCCTTGCGCTTTTGCCGCATCGACTACTGTTGCAAGAAAATCATTGCGGCCGAAGCTCTGATGCAGGATAACTGTGTTCTGTCCGAGAAGAAATCAATTCTTGCGGAACTACTAGCAGGATGAGCTGTCACATTTCACGCGGAAGTTCCCAACCGCAGCACTTCGGTGAGCCCCCCGGAGAAAAATCGCTGGGTGCTCTGGAAACCACGCTAGACCCATATATTTCCCGGGCGTACAGAGTTGAGGCAGCCCCGGATGTGTGGCCAGCTGGTGATGATCGGATTGTCACATACCGATGGGTTTTGAGCACACCGTCGTTTCACGCCCTCTCTCCGTTCCAAGTAGGGGGGAAGGATGCACTTCGCGTCGCCCCCATAGTTCCCCACCCCTCGTACTGAAGTTGGATTGAAGATGAGGCAGGCACGTTTTCGTTCGTTTTTTTCGTTCTTGCAAACGTCTCACCAATTATGTTGTCGTGTGAAGGGACGGCAAGACTCCAGCGGAACAATCTCTGCGCGCGCACACGGACTGCTCCCGGCATCCGCAAATGGAATGCAGTCATAGTTGGCACCATTAGCAGCCCAGCGATACAGTACACCGCAACACCCTTATTTCTACAGCTTAGAAACGCTTGAGGGAAAAAAAAATACTTCTAGAAGGTGTCTACCAACTCGAGCCCTCGTTTCACGAACAGATTAGCCCGGGCTTTTTTCTTGGGCTGCACCATGAAGCTCGCTATGGAATTCATGCCTGCCGCCTCTTCGTCTGGCTCCTCCTCCCTTTCGATCGAGGGCATCCCCGCCGAAAAATCACGAGAAAACGGCGGCAGGGAAAATAGCGTAGTTCACAAGCGTCGAAGAGGTCGGCAGGTGGACGGCAACAGTGGGCGTGGGCAGACGTTCAAGTGGGGTCACTCATTAGTTCCGGTTAGTGCCACTGCCTGGGATGTACATACATGTAGTGCTGGTGAAACCGCGTGGCACGGGCGGAATATCAATTTGTTTCATTCTCTGAACAGCTGTGCCAGGTGTAGTCCCGGCGTAGTGCCGGTAAGACTGGAGGACACATACCGGCACGACTTTTGGGGACCCCCACTGCGATTTTATCTCACTCCGAACACCGAATCAGTCACCGTGGTCAAACGCAGTGCGGCATACACCCAACCAGGATCTCCCTCTGATGTATGTCACTCGGAGTTTCCTTCTACGAAGATGATTGATGATGGGCGGAGGCAGCCCAAACAGATAAAACCACTGCCGCTCGCCCGTTGTCGCATTCCTAGCCGATGGTCGATTGGTCGTGATCAGGTTCACAGACCGCCATTCCTATGCATGTTCACGCACCGAAAGATGTCAACGAGAGACCGATCCCCAACGCAAAGGCTCTAGAAAAATCTTTCCTCTACGCGTAAGTCAAACAGTAGGGGAGCGTGTGCTTCTTTTGGCTCAAGGTGCAGTGGTGGCCTCGAAATACCATACCGTGGTGTCGTGACGGGCAAAAATCACCGCGGTATATCGGGCACCGCACTATTGAGGGTTGGGCAATATACACCTCTTAGTATGAGTAGCCAAATCCCATGACAGATCGATGTTTGCCGCGGTGTATCGGGAGCCGAACTACTCGGGACCGCGGTACGGTGTATCGGGACCACCACTGTACTACTGTATAATACTGTAGCCGTCTCACCAATCCACCCGTTTCCGAGTGGGCCCCTTGAGAATCTCCTTCGTCGTGCCCCAGCTGAAGCGACAGATGTCCGGAAATCCGAAGACCGGGTCAACGTTCGACTCGAGCCACTTCTTGCACTTCTCGTCCCCGGGGTATCCGGACCCGTACTTCCTGTCCTCGCTGAAGTCCAGGTTGGGCTCAGACCACTGCCACCCCTCGACGATTCGGTCTCGAGTGACCTTGGTTGGAATCGCGTAGGGTACGGTAGGCGTTCACCCGTTGGTTAGAAAAACTTGCTTCGTTTCATTCAAGGTTTTATTTTTCGACATTACCCAGAGAGAGACTAAAGTAAAAGGGAAGTCCGGGAACGGAAAAGAGGAGGGCGTAGACTAGGGAATAATTTGTTGAGACATTTCGCCAAAACCCCCCAAAAAAGTTGGGCGTGATAAGATATCCACATCTATCTTCGTGAACGTTTGATGTTCGTTTTTGACACCGAAACAAAAGGCAGTGGGCATGAACGGGAAACAGAGGCTCCTTGCCTTGGCGACGATGCTTGCAGCGCTGGCAGTCTTGTAGAGGCTGTCCGCCTTCTTGGCCACAACGAACTTGATCCCCTTGCCAAACTCCCTTCGTCCACGATGATGGCGGCAAGACAGAGCAGAGCACAAGCATGCAAAGGCATCATTCGTTGCCGTACCGTAAGTTGCGTGCATGGTGGACGTGCCGAGTGTTCTGAACGAAAGAGAGAGGCACTGAATGGCACGTGAATAAATAGCCTCGTCATCGAACTCGCTTTACTCGGTTCCGCAATAGAACACAGTCATGCAAGTCCTCTTCGTGTAACAGCTGTTGGGGCTCCCATCTCTGTAACAGCCTGACGTCCCGGCCTAGAGATATGTTTTGCCTTCTTTCGTTGCCGTCAGATTAGCGAGATACCGCGCAATTCCGGGAAGAAATTACTCTTGGTGGTGTACGGCCCACCGAGGATAAATCTGCGGATAGGGTTCACCCATCTCTCTCTCCCTCTCTCTCTCTCTCGTCCTTTACCCTCGAACTGCATGGCAAAACCTGTCGAGAACAACGGGTGTGCGAGCGGTGCCTGCCATGTTGCGGAAATGTTAGCATCGCCAGTTTAAGTCAATGTTCAGTTGCACTGCTCTTGTATATCGTAGATCTCATATGTGTCGGTTCGAATGTAACGTACGTATGTGTATGCGGAAGAATACTCCCGCAGGATTCTCTGCTTGCTCGCCGAGTAGCTCACTCTCTCGTGTGATCCTTCCGGATTGTGTTGGCCACCTATGCGCCAGTGTTCCAACATCTTCCAATATCTCAACGTCTTCTTCACACTGCTGTGGAAGGACTCTCGTCTTCCAGGCTACCCTCTCGCACATGTTATTACCTCGACTAACGTCGAAGACATAATTTCTGCTGCCACATGCTGGGATATACACCACAATTCCAAGTAATACGCTATGAGCCTTGTTTGTTGATTCCCTTCTTGTCCTGCTTTGGACAACTCTTCTGCACCTGTTTAGGACAGTCGCGCTGGAAATGTCCGTACGTCTTGCATCGGCGGCACTGGTCGGTGTCGGACGCGACCGCCATCGCGGCCACCCGGCCCGAGACCACGGGGCCCGACGCGTTGCGCGACCGCTGGTCCACAAAAAAGCGGATAGTCGTCTCCTGGAGACGGTCGACCGAAGTAAATTAATACGTCTCCGTACTGCATCTCCTGAACGAACTTCAATCCCGGGGCCTTGGTCAGGCCTGAGAGCATGATATCCAGGTGGACTGCGTCCGATACTTCCTCCCCCAGCACCTCGAGGCGAAGCTTGAGGTCCCACCCCTTCGTGAAGAAGTCAATGGCATCACCGCCAGCAAGGGGCCGCAGGTCGAACAGTTTGTTGTGACCCGCGCGCCGAGCCTCCCGGGTTTGAGCATCGAACTCTCTTTGAAGGCTTTCCAGGCCGCCGTCCCATCCCACATGTCACTGTCCGCCGCCCCTTCGTGAGTGCCATACGGACAGTGAGCTGCGCAGACCCGGAGGTCGCGAAGAAGAGGAGGGAGTACAGGCGACAGTTGGCCTTGTCCAGCGCGGCCATATTCTCCGCGTTCGCCGCGGTTGCCGAAGGACGCGCGTTTCCGTTGAGGACGGAATGAGCTCCGGCGCGTGGAGGATGATTGCTCGTCGAAGCTTCAAGTCTCCACTCGTACCGTACTAGTATGTGATTCTAAAATCCGTGGGGCCGGCCAGATAGCGAAGAGTGTGTTGCTGCCACCATGTGGATCTTCCTGGGTTTCGCCATTGGGAGGGCTAGTTGGCCCGTAGCGTATACGATGTCGTCGCGGAGCACTTGAGCGATGTACATCACGCACCCCACGATGCCCTGATAACGTCGCGTTTCCTCCTCGTCTAGCAGAGTGTCCACTGGTTGCTTGTTAGAGAGCTCCGAACCGTAGCCAGGCGTACTGGTCGGTTTGCATTCAGACATCCCGAACCTCTCGAGGATGGACTTGCTGTACGCTTGCTGGGAAATGGTCAGGGTGCCTTGCTCACGGTCCCTCTTGATTCCCATCCCCAAGACGACCGTCACCTCGCCCATGTCTTGTCATCTTGAATCGTTGTTTTTATTTGTTCTTTATCATCGAGATGGCGTTGGAGTNNNNCCATCTCGATGATAAAGAACAAATAAAAACAAAGATTCAAGATGACAGACATGGGCGAGGTGACGGTCGTCTTGGGGATGGGAATCAAGAGGGACCGTGAGCAAGGCACCCTGACCATTTCCCAGCAAGCGTACAGCAAGTCCATCCTCGAGAGGTTCGGGATGTCTGAATGTAAACCGACCAGTACGCCTGGCTACGGTTCGGAGCTCTCTAACAAGCAACCAGTGGACACTCTGCTAGACGAGGAGGAAACGCGACGTTGTCAGGGCATCGTGGGGTGCGTGATGTACATCGCTCAAGTGCTCCGCTACGACATCGTATACGCTACGGGCCAACTGGCCCTCCCAATGGCGAAACCCAGGAAGATCCACATGGTGGCAGCGAAGCACACTCTTCGCTATCTGGCCGGCCCCACGGATTTTAGAATCACATACTGGTACGAGTGGAGACTTCAAGCTTGCGACCCTTTCGGACTCCAACTGGGCGAACAACCCGGACAACGGAAAGGCCACCTCTTGCTACTTGACGACGCTGGGCAATGCACCAGTGAGCTTCAAACCGAGGACACGAAGTCCGACTGCCATGTCGACCATGGAAGCGGAGCTGATTGCATCGGCACCAGCCATGAAGGAAGCAGTGTTCTGTTCGAACATGCTGACTAAGTTAACGTCGAAGACGCAGCTTCTGCTGCCACATGCTCGGAAATACTTACACCATCAGAAAGGTGAACGGGGGCATGTACACGTCCCTAGGTTTGCTAGAGGGAGCTGTACTGTCTAAGTAACCTGGCTTCGCCATCAAAGGAGGAGGGAGCAGGTGGTGACGAGCTGAAGATTGGGATGGCTGACCCCTTCAGCGCGACAATTTTTCAGACCAAGAACCTCAAGTGCAACGAGGGAGAAAGCGAGGAACAGACTGGGAAGGACAGCAACGAGATGGTGTGCGGACGGAGCGGGTCGGGTGTGATCGTGCTAGGACTGGTGGCCACAACGGCAACGGAGCAGCAGCACCGGAGCATGCGGGCAACACCGACCCGTGGCGCACGGACAAGCATTAGATGTAGCCAATTTTTTCGTTTTTTTCCAAAATATCGGTGTTGGGTGTGTGTGATGACGTCACTGGTTTCGTAGAGAGACTAGAGAGACGCGGCAGAGATGGCGCGGATACCCCGGGTGCCGTAATTGTGTACCTGCATCGTGGAAGACCCCTTCAATGTGGAAAGATTCCTAACTAGTGTCGATGTTTACACTGCTGTGCCTAACACAGACGATCGGGATAGATTCGGGTGATTGTCAATTGCAATGACGGCTTTGGTTGTTCTTTTTCACTGTCCCCGGGCGCATGGTGACAGCACTTCAGACTGCAGCTGCGTGCCCCAGCTTCTTGTTCTATGCCCACAATGGTGTTATTGTACAGACAGCACTCGAGACAGCAGTACGCTGTTGTCAACAACCATCCACGTTGGCTCAGAGCGGGACAGGGGGAGGGGGGCGATGCTGCTGTAGTCGAATGTACAATGCGGACATGTAGTTCAGTTATTGGGCACGTAAAAGTACAGCAGGGATTGTAGTGTGCCTTTTCGGCTTGTGTATCCTTTTCTTGCCAAGTGTGCGTGTTATTTAGATCTTCTGATGGCTCTAGCATTTTTTGTGACCACGGACCGAGTCTTTGCTGATTTTGGGATTAGCAACTGACACGAGTTCAATGTGAATAAAACAACAACAACAACAACAACAACAACAACAATCCCACAATATGCCGAAACCGAGCGATTTCTCATTTCCCTCTCTGAAGGTTCTACTGTTTTCGTATGGGTGTTGACGAGCAGACCCCCTCCCCCCCCCCGTCCCTCTCGACAACATCACGCCCTTCGTACTCCTACCTACCCTACGCGCAAATCCAGATGTACGTAACGGGTTAATGGTTTCTACAAAAAAGGCACTGGAAGGGGAGTGCATTTTGCCTGTTTAGAGCCAGAGAGGGAGAGAGACTAAATTAGAGAGCAACCCGCGCTTAACGGAAAACGAACACGTACTCACTTCTCCAGCTTGGATTGGTAGAAGGCCGGGTCCCCGACCGTGTCGACGTACACTTGGGTAACTTTGACGCCCCGCGCTTGCACCGCTCGGATCAGTTCGGCGGCGGCGTCGTGCGAGATGACGTTGAGGCTGTAGGGCACCTTCCGGCACATCTTGTCCGACAGTTCTCGAGCGGAGATGAGTCGTAGGACCCAGCCTACCTCGGGGGTCTGTGGTTGGCGTCGATGGTGGTGGTGGTGATTGTGGTGGTCGAACCCACAATGAGTGATTGGTAGAGGTTTGAACGAGAGGGCGGCAGCGAGATGAGGAGGGGAGAGACAGATAGATATGGCGAGACCAAGAGGCAAACAAACCATTTTTGAGAGACAGGCAGA